TTTAGAACTTCTAAACGACGAAAAAAGAAGAGAATAAAGAAGTGACAAAAGAGAAGAAGTTAAAACTCAGAATTGTTTTATGTGTGTGATGAAAACTCAAGTGAGAAACAAAGCAACCAAGTTGTAATTGAAAACTGAAACATTTAGTTGAGTTTTGAACATTAAAGAATTTGTTGCCTTTATAAATTTGCATTTAGATTTTAGTTAGTGGCTTTAGAGACACTTACTATTTATTTAGAAGGGCTTGAGTAAAGAGTATATTCAAATATTCCAGCCTGCATGACTGTTTTTAATCAACTAGGAGAACTGATCACTTTGTGGTGACATGAAAGGCTTGGGTAATCTCTCGAAGAGGGAGATTATTTCATTGTTCTTTCTAACCACAGAATTCCTTAATTTTAATATTCAGGACAATAACAACCTAAATTTCCGAAGGGAAGAAGCATAGTAGAATAATTTTAGCTTGTTGCTTGGCAGGACTGTCCTGCAAACTAACACCTTTTAAAACCTAGGAGAAAAAGTTTTAATTCAGGGCAATGACGTTGGAAGTCAGAAAAAATGTTTTAACTTAAGTCATATCCTCAGAGTGCAGATTAGTGAAAAATTTAGAGGGCTATAGCGATGTAGTATGATGCCATTTATATTCCGCAGTGAGTCGATATGACGTGGATAAAAGTTATTTCGTGCATTTTGTAAATTCTGTTCGATGACACTGTACCAATTTTACGAACATTGCGAGACTCAATGGGGACATTGACCAGGCTGTCCGGGGAGTATGTGACATTCGACCAGAATGGACAAAAATGCAGATGCAGCAGTTTCGAGTTTTTAGCAGCGAACCCTCCGAATTGGCGGTTTTGAAGGAATAAGAGTGTTATTCGGACGAGTGTTACAAATCGTGAAGGCTGAAAGATTCGGAAATTCCTAAAATTTAAAAACTCAAATTGATGACGTAATAATTCTAAGAAACGTCAAAAAGGGCCATTTTGGAGAAAAACCGAAATAGAAACACAACAACAATAGTTGCGACAACGACAACAACGAAAAAACTGAGAATCGGAATCAGAGAAAAACAGAAGTAGCAGAGACCGCTCCGAGTTGCAACTATTGTGCCGCTACAATAGTTGCAAGGCCGTTGCGGTTAACGGTGATGGGTGTGAGGCGGCCTTCCGGAAGGAGAATAAGAGTCTTATTTCGCCGGATTCAAGAATCCGGAGGGGCCTCGGGATTTGGACTGAAACTGAAACTGTTTTACATAAACTTTTAGCTTCCCTACTATGCCCTGAGTTGAATTTAATTAACATCTGAATTCATTTTGCAAGGATGAGAAGCTAGGAGTTGGGGGGAAGGGTTGATCCATCTTCGATGGAGATGATGGTTTTTATCTACTGAACCAAAACAATAGTATTATAATAAAAAGTAGTAGCCCTGTTTTTAGGAGTGACCTCGTGGTCTGGGGATACTGAGACCCAGGCATGAGCTCAATATTTCTGCATGTAATTAAGTTAATTTGAGCGTTCTGGTCGAAGCCGGAGAACAGTAACGTTTTTGTCGATCCGATGTTGAAAAGACTACCAAAAGAACTGGCTTGGTAGAGACGGTGAAACGCATGTAGAGCTCTGTTTAGACGTTGGCCAGTCGTCTTAGAACCTAGCTTTATTTTCCGTCGATATGTATCTTCCGGGCGAATGTTACAACAGAAAAAAAAACAGAACTTGTGAAGAAAAGCAGTGAACGGAAATTGTGATCGAGATTGACGAAAACTTTACGAGGACCATTCCGAGTTGTAACGATTGGGTCGCTACATTCGTTACAACGCGAATCCCGAGAACAAGGAAGGGTGTTGGGACGGCGTGTCCAGCCTTCCTGAAAGAAATAAGGACGTTATTTCCGCGGATTCCAGAGTCCGGAGGGTTCTCGGGAGGGAGACAAAATCTGTATTTTATAAACTTTTAGCTTCCTGGAGGTGCCCTGAGTTAAATTCAATTAACATCTAAATTCATTTTTAGATCATGAGAAGCTAATAGTTAAGGTAATGGGTTAATCCATCTTCAATGGAGATGATGATTTTTTTATCTACTGAACAAAAACAATAGTAATATATTAATAAGTAGTAGCCCTGTTTTTAGGAGTGACCTAGTGGTCTGGGGATACTGAGAACCAGCCATGAGCTCACTATTTTTGCTTATAATTAAGTTAATTAGAGCGTTCTGATCGAAGCCGGAAACAGTAACGTTTTTTTTGTCGACCCGATAATAGAAAGACCACCATAAGAACTGGCTTTGGCAGAGACAGTGAAAAGCATGTAGAGATGTGTTTAGACGCTAGCCAGTCGGTTTAGAACGTAGCTTTATTTTCCGTCGATATGTATGTACGTCGGGCGAATGTTGGCGAATGTTACGAAAAGGATAAATGTCGAATTTTTCATGACATTTTCTGATCGGCTAAATTTTCGGCTCACTTTTGTCTGCTTGTGGCCGCTAGATGAATTCTATTAGGTTATTGTAAAATGGTGGTTGTGTTTATGACTTTTTCCGACATAACTTTATTTTTTCCCGAATTTTTTTTTCGTGTTGTTAATAATTGCCAGCTTGCAATTCTGCGCTTGCGTTTTGTCGCAGGTGATGCGAAGCTCCGCTTCGCCGTTTTGTTCAAAATTGCTTCTTTCACATTTGCATGCCGCGGCAAAGGCATATGCAAAAAACGTACGGCAAATCCCAAGAGACAAAGCCGTTGAAAAAACGAGGAAATATCTCAAAGATAATGGGTTGCTGGCTGTGCCTTTTGATAAGGGGGTTGGTTTTTGCATAATGAGGAAACAAACATATGAATCAAAGCTGGAATCCTTGTTGCAATCTGCTCAGTTTGTGAAAAAAGATGCAACCACTGATGAGGTGATACTGAAAATTGAGAAAGAACTTAACAAAGAATTACTAGCCATGAACAAAAGAGACGAGATAAGTGATCAGTTATATTCTAAGATGAGATCAACAGGGGGGCAACCCGCCCGTTTGTACGGTTTAGCTAAGGTACACAAGGATGAGACACCCCTACGACCTGTACTGTCACTTCCCGGCAGCTCGTATGAGAATCTTAACAAAATGCTGGCAAAGTTTTTTGACAACATCGATGGAGCAAATATAGAAACCAATACTAAAGAGGCTGGAGAAAAAATAGAAAACATTGCTCTAGATCCGGATGAAACCATAATATCTCTTGATGTGAAAAGTTTGTACACCAACGTTCCCCTGAAGGAGGCAATTGAAATTGCTTTACAGAAGCTGTACAGCCAGGAGTCTCCTCCTGAAATTCAAAGAGCAACCATGAAAAGGCTTTTGAATATGGCGGTCAGCAAAGTATATTTCAAGTGTAATGATTCATGGTATGTACAAGTTGATGGTTTAGCAATGGGCGCGTCCCTCGCTGTAATTCTGGCAAACTTATGGCTGAAAGAATACGAATATGCTCTACGACAACAGATACCGGTGGGAACGGGGGTACAGCAATTTAATGACAAAAACGGCTTGTGCCCATGTTGCAGCAGGAAAGTCACATATAGATCAAAGGGGGTTGAATGCGAGAGTTGCCGAAACTGGTATCATCTAAAATGCGGAAAAATATCTGATGACGTATACGCATCAATAACCGAGATAGTCTGGTACTGTGAAAGCTGCTGCCGAGCTAAGAACAAGGAAAAGGATACTCCCCAGGTGAAATTGTTCCTCAGGTATGTGGATGACATTGTTAGAACAGTCAGAGGGGAGCCGAGTTGTCTTCTCGATGCCGCCAATTCTCTTCATCCAAATTTGCAGTTCACTCTAGAGAAAACTAATTCGGAGGGGAATTTGCCGTTCCTGGATTTGAACATAAATGTATCGCAGGATAGGCGTGTAACTTGCAGTTGGTATCAAAAACCAACCGATACAGGGACTATACTGAACTATAGAAGCTGCGCCCCAACTCAGTATAAGCGTAGTGTTATCCAAGGCACTGTACACAGGGTTTTTAGGAGTACATCTAGCTGGGAGCAATTTGATAAGGCTATGGAAACTAATAGGGCGCAATGGCTGACAAATCAGTACCCTGAAAATTGGTCCGCAAAGGTGGCTTCAGACGCCTTGTGCAAAATCATCGAGGGTAAAGGCAAGCCCCTGGATAGTGACAGGGGTTTGTCAGTTCAATCACCAAAGGATGAGAAGCCCCCAATGCTGATGGTGCAATATAGAGGTAACCAGAGCCAATATTTTGCTAACAGGTTACGAAAATTAACGAACGTTCAAGTGGTTTTCACCACAAGAAAACTACAATCATGTTTACCATCACTGAAGTCAGCATTTTCTAATGACCTCAAGTCAAGAGTGGTTTATAAACTGTCATGTAGTGGATGCACTTCCACCTATGTCGGACAAACTGTTCGACATTTGACCACTAGAATTGAGGAACATAAGAAAGCAGACTCACCGGTAGGCCTCCACCTTCAGCAATGCCAACTTGAGGGAAATAGCGCAGATCTTAGTTGGGAAATTATAGATAGGTCAAACAACCAAACAAAATTGCTAACACTAGAGGCAATACACATCAGGAAAGAGAAACCGGGCTTGAACACGCGCGATGAGTTTAGGAGCAGGGAGTTAACACTGAAAATTTAGTCCCAAAATATTTTTGGTTTTTTATTCAAAACGTACATGTCTAAATCGAAATTATGACTCAGAAACTTCCAGACAAATTAATTTTAAAATGTTTAATTAATTTTAGAGGTTAAAAGTATTTTAATCTTGATAGTAATTTAGAGGTCAACTGTGATTGGCTAATTTTTTATCATGATGGTTTAGAACCAAATTGTATGTGATTTATTGTAAATAACATTTGTAAATTGATGTTTTATCGTCATTTAGAGTAGTTTATTGTAAAAATCCTGACGATGCACATAGTTGCGAAAACGTTTGAAATTTACTTTTTAGCAAAAATTTCTTGTGTTAATGAAATTTACTTCGTTTCAGGTTTTTTTTTATTTGATAAGTTCACTACAATTTAAACTTTGGCAGTTTTGGGTGAACGATGGGTAGTGCAGTATCTTCAGGCGTGAATAACGATGACCTCGTGAACAATTTAGTGAAGGAAAAGTACATCACGTCACACCAGGTGGAACAAGTATTCAGAGCAGTCGATCGAGGTCATTTTGTGGACACATTTCTGGCTGAAAATTTTGAAGGATCACAAGGAACGAATCAGCAGACACGAAGTCTGTCGAGGCGACCCAACATCACAGCTTATGAAGATCTCGCATGGAGAGAAGGCAATTTGCATCTGTCAGCTCCTTGCATTTACACACATGTAATGGAGGAACTGGATTTGAAATCGGGTCTGTCGTTTCTAAATATTGGTTAGTCTATTTTTTTTTAATATAAAAGGGTAAATTACAAAAGGGGTCCTTCTGTTTAATTATGGTCAGTGCGCAAGCTGGACAGGGCCATACCAGCGTTATAAAAATGCATATATATATCAGCAATCTGTATAATTGTATCAGAAGTCATAAATCAGCATTAAATTCATCGTTGTAATGTTAATTTATCTTAGCCGTCCTTCCTCTACAATAGCACTTACAGAGATGTCGATATATTGAACTTTGCGCAACGATCTGCACCCCCTTGAACATAGTATAGAGCTCCTGAGGAGCGCGAAGCTTATTTTAGTTTTTATGTATTTTATCGATTCTTGGTAGCTTTCTTTTCTTTTTTCACTTAGTTTTTCGGCTAATCGCTGCATCTTCCGAGTGGCTGTTGGAGCAGCGCCACCAGTGCATCTGAAAATCAGCGGACAGAAGCTACTCTTATTTGGAAATTCGAAATTCTTAACTGATATTTGGAGTTCTTCAGCGTTTCGTGATATTTGTATACGTCTTTATGCAGTTTTCGCGATGTTTTGGCATTGGGGATGAAAATTTTCATGTCAAAGAAAGCGCGGGTAAACGGCGAACCCCAGATCCGTTTGCCCTAATGTCAATGCGTGCCTCATCTTCAATAGTAGTTGAATTGTTGACAAAGCTTTTGTCTCGTAACGGCTGAAGTTTCGGCTCAATCTCGACGTCGTGGTAAACCTCGTTCATGAGGTTTGGCGAATGTGTCTCTAATTTCGCTGTGTCTTACGTATGTAACCGCCCTCTGCGCAGTGTAGGGCATAGGTAGGTTAAAACTTGTGATTGGGGTTTTTGTCGGTTCCTATCCGTATCTTAGGAAAATACCATCTCTGAATTCTGATTTATTCAGGTTGAAGTTGTATCTGCTTAGTGGTAAAGCATTGAGCCATTTAGAGGCTCCTTTTTCAGAGGCCAGTTCGATTACGTATTTATCATTTCTTATACGGAGTTGATAAGGTTTGATTTCTTCCGATTTGTTCAATCAGTTTTTAATTTTTTGATTTTCGTACAAATTTTTTCTTGCTGTGTTATTGCTGTAACAGTATCTTGAGATTCCAGTACTAAGAGTGTTTCCCTAGACCCTTCTAAATAGTTTTCGTGGTCGGATAGCAGCTTGATGTTAAGGCCGCCCATTTTAGGGTTTAATGAAGATATCTCACGGAACTGGTGGCTTAATGTTAGGTATAACCTTTGGTTAGTCTAAATTGATCAAAGAATTTGGTCATTCTCTTCTCCATATTTTTAAAAACCAAGTAAATACTTGCCGGTAAGCTCAAAGGATGCAGTGCTAGAGTGAAAATTGAAATATACACTCTAATTTACTAAATTATTGTTTCCAAATGAGAGCGATAGCCTTGTAATCAGGAACTAGACTTCTTGTTCCGACCATTTGAATATTGTGTTCGGGTGTTTTTTTTTTTTTGTTTTCTACTCAAAATCAGGTGCCACAAAAATCATGCGAATAGATCGAATGGTATATCTTACTAAAGACCTTTCAGTTGTGATTAGAACGACCTTAAATTCCAGTGTCGACAAAAACGGGTTTTAATTTTTTGATTTTTTGACCAATTTCGAGCGAGTATAACGAGCTGGCATGCTTATTCATGCTTCGTTTAGGCCATTTACAACAGCTTAGTTATAATCAAATTTAGTTTTGCTCGAATATGAAGAGGTTTTGGAGTTTTATTAACGCTATTTAGAGAATAAAAATTTTCGGGTTTTTTTGGATTATTTTTGATTTTTTTTTGAAAAATGATTTTTTAAATTTTTCTAGTGATTTTTTTCAAAAACTGTTGTCCTGTTTGCCTGGAAATTATGCCTAATTCATAGTTTTTTGTTCATTCATTTTATCAAACCACGGAGAAAAAACGACACTAATTTGAAGAAAAATTTGAAGTTTTTCTATTTTTTATGAATATGGTCGGAACATTATGTGCTGCTTGCACAACAACCGGCTATCCTTGTTATATCATAAATTTTTTTTAACATGATTTTATATTTAACCTGTTGGAATATTTTGTATTACATGTGTAACAATCGGCAATTTGTTTTAAAATTAAAATCTTCAAGTATTAAAATCTTTCAATACCGCAAAGAAAAAAATACGTTTTTTTGCCACCAGGAAAAATTGTGAGCTTTAATTTTGTTGTTGTTTTAGTTTTCATAGTTTTTGTCACTTTCTCATGCAAAATTAGGTGCCAAAAAATTATCAGATCGGGCCGAGTGATACAAAATGTTCCGACCATATTCAAAAACTAAAAAATTTGGTTTTTTGTGTGCTTTGTGTGATTAAAAAATCTGAACAATATGGTCAGATATAGTCAAAATCTGACTATTTACTCGGATATAGTCGAAATTGGCATGACTAAAAAACAAAAATATAATAAAATTTTTAAAAGTTTTTTTTGTAGAAATATTTCTTGAGTTTTTGGAAGTTGGGTCAGATGGCACTAAAAAACTTTTTCAGGGCTTGTTAAAAAGCCATGCCCTATTCACTAGTAAATTGCGACTCTACTTCTTTATGAAGCCTCGATTTTTGCGCTCCAATTAAGACGAAAAATCAAAAATTTCAAATCGGTTTTTCTTGCTACTGGGAAAACGGAAATGTAGTTATAATAATGTAGTTCAAATTACGACTAATTTTTGGACTCATTTTATTTTTGCCAGCTTGAATTCATATTCTATTTAACAAGGGTATATTAGATTGAAAAAGGCGAAAAGTATTGCAAATTTTGTTTGCTTCTTAATTTAAAATACCATTGTTAAATTGAATATGAATAGAAGTCTGTTGACTCATGAAGCCTCTATTCTATCTTTGCTCCAGGATCTGGCACTGGCTACTTGAATCTGATGGTGGGACACATAATTGGACCTCGTGGGTGTAACCATGGAGTGGAGTTACATCAAGACTGCATCGAATATGCCACTGAGCGCATAGGCGCCTACGTAAGAGAGGCGCCGCACTTTGACAAGTTCAATGTGGGTTTGCCGGAATTCTTCAGGGGAAACGGATTGTGCCTTTCCTCAGAATGTTTCTACAGGTGCTTGATTTTTTCAATTTTTTCAGGCGAAAAAAATAAAGTGAAAAACAGCGTTTAGTCTAAATAACCCTTAAGATACCAGATTAAAGCTACATGAATTTGAGTACTAAAAAATTCAGGCTAGGTAGCGTTTCCTACCCACTCCACTTCGTAAAGTGGTAGTCGGAACAAATTTTACCCGAGTTACTGAACGTTATCATTATGTTCTCTTTTGTTTCAGATATGACAGAGTTTACTGTGGCGCAGCTGTGCCCTCTGAACATATTCAGTTCATGAAGCTACTCGTCAAGCCAGGTGGAGTCCTAGTTCTCCCTTGCGGAGACCAACTGGTCAAGGTCAGTCACATATCCCAACTAGCATCATTTTTTCTAATGTGCATTGCCTTAAGATAGAGGAAATTCGAAATGAGGGAAGCAAGCACCTCGTATGGGATCCGGTTCTAAAATTTTGGAAATTGCTTAAGCTTTTTTTTGAAATTCAAACATGCATTTGCTGCAGAATTTAATGAATTGAGTCAGCACATTTGACAGAAATTCGCAAGACACGAATCTTCTTAATTGTTAAGTCGAGGCCTGCGAAATTGAAAAAAAAAAATATTTTTTGATAGATAACAGTTAAAGACGACTTCACGTCAGACCTTCGAGATCTTCTACCAGTATCTTTTGCTAGTCTAATTGTGCCCTCCAATGAAGAGTTACGCAAAGAGACTGTCACGCTACCCTTGAAGCCCATTCCGACTTTGAAGGATCTTTGTCGAATAGCAATTCGAGAAGCAATTCAAGATGGTCTTTTTCCCGCGGACACGACCCGAGTAGCAGTGAAGCCACTCACGAGAGCCGAACGGATCCAAAAGCGCCGAATGTCCCGCCCTAATCGAGTCTCGGTGAGACGCAGGCGGCCTAGAGTGGAACCATATTTGTCAGCTCGCAGCCAGGAGCCGAACGAGCATGTTGAAGAAAGTACGACCAATGATGAAGATGAAAACGCGCCTCTAGATTCTCGAGGCCATCTAGGATTTTCTGTTAGTAATGAAACTGCTCCTGGCGACAGGGTTCTTGATGAGGAAATTGCGAGTGGTATTGCAGATAACATTGCGAGCCAGATTGTTGATGAAATTGTTAATGGATATAGTGAAAATGAATCTGAAAATGAAAACGAGAGGTCTAATTCTCTTCACATTGTAAGAAATGAAACCGCGCTAAATGGCCAGGAAAATAAATGTAATTACCAACAAAGTCTGAATGTCCCTAAATCGCAAAATACGGCAATTTCAAAAAATTTGTCAGTGACTTCTTCAAATGATCCACTTGAAATTAATGACCATGATTCTTCGAATGACTCTTTGAGGAAAGGATTCAGCGATATTGCCGTTGAGAGCATCGAAAAGAAATCCAGTCAAATTGAGTCAACCAGTAACTCGGTTTTAGAAGATAACGGAAAGAAAATTATTAAAAACGATCTGGGAAACCCGGACCATTGTCATGCAAGTACTTCGTCCAATGGTCACGTGCATAAGTCTGAAGCACAAAGCTGTAGAAAAATTGAGGTTAGCAGTGAAGCGCAAAGTATTGGCGAGTCAAGCTGTGGTAATTTTTTTGAACAGCCAAAAAGGATGAAAAAAGATAATATTGATGAGAATAAAGCCTCAGGTAGCGGTGATCAGATTCAGCAAGGATGTCTGGGGCCCTTAACAGATCCTGGAACTTCCACTCAGGAATCGAAAAGTGTACCTAAAAGTGGGAAGGTCTCAGTCGTGAAAAACACAGAAAAAGTAGAGAGTAGTACATCTGATCCAAAACTACTAACGGTGAGTGATTTAGAGAAAATCAGGGTTCGCGAGTTGGCAGAACTAAGAAGGCAAGAGCAACTGAGGTTGGCAGGTTATTCTCCGATCCTTGAGAGCTCAGATGAAGAAGACAGTGCAAATACTAACTATTTGGGAGACACAACAACTTTAGAGCCAGTGCCACAAGATGTGCTCATTGCAAGACCGCGGCAACCATCGTAAGTTGGATTTTTAAGTTTAGGATTGCGCTTTGCAAGCGTGCCCAATTTGAAGCTTTTTCGCTAAACATAATCAGTGAATCGTTTTCCAATTCACGTTATGACAAAGTTAAGATCTACTTATTTGGCGCAGAGTCACCGTCCAGGGTTGGAATGACAAAGGTTTGTGGTTCAGGACAGACTAGGACCTGTACTTTTTACATAATAGAATTTTATACTCTGGAAAAGTGTTTTTTTTTATTATCGCGTGCTCGTTTACTTTTTTGGTTAGTTGCAACAGCTTGGATTTTTCTCAACTGTCAAGTATTTCCTTGGACTTGCGATATTTCACTATCTCTGAGCACTATAATCTAAGTTACTTGCGGCTGACTTAGGTTGATTTAATTCAATTGAAGAGTTAGGTGTTATCAGGAACTGGACTTTTCCCGTGAGCAAATTTTTGTACAAATCAGTAAGAAATTGGTGATCTTGATTTATTATTACACTTGCGAGAAAGTTTGTTGTACTCGGAAACTAAAACTTTTTCCTATTAACAACTAAACTTGCTTTATTGTTGAATCTGCGCTTGCGATTAGCAAGCGTTTTCAAATCAGAATATAGACTTTGTCGGTCCAACTAGTTGAACAGAATCACTTAATCATTTTACCTTTGCCTCATATGAAATTAAAAGTCAGGCGTTAGTTCGCGAATGTGGAGAAGAGCTAAAGCACCCTCTCATATAGACAAAGGTAATTCAATGGTTTGAGTCCGACCAAGACCTGTTTTTTTTGTAAACGGAAAATTGTCCGCGTGTCTAAATTTTTGTCGGCCTGTTTGTCTGCTTGTTTTCTCTTAGCTTAGATGCCGCAGCACCAAATTGGCCTCAGGTTTAGGCGTTTTCTACTTGAATTGAAAATAAAGTCATTGTACTTCGGTTTTGGGCAAGTATTCGAATTCAATGAAGTTAAACCCCCTTTTTTGCTGTTTTTTGACTTATTCATGTCTAATAAAAACTTTTGGAAATGGTTTTCTTTATGAGTTCTAGGAGTGTTGTCTGTATTTGGCGCAGTGGTAATACCATTGTTTGAGGCGGAAAATTTCGGAAGTTAGATTTCAGTCGGGAACGTTTTTTTGTGGAAACTGAAAATTTTTGACCATTTGAGGCTTTCATGTCTGCTTATTTTCATGACATGAAAGTTAGTTTTTTTAATAAAATCATTTTTCAAGCAGAAATGAACTGGTTACGTCCTTGTTCGAAACCCACTATGATCCATGCTCGACTTTCGAAGGTAAGGCAACCCTACCCAGACCCGAAAAATAGCCATAACGTTGCATGTTTATCTTAAGCAGGGGCACAACAGCTGTTATCGGTGAAGAGCAAATTAGCTCATATGTTGGTCCTTCCCTTATGGATAAACTGCCCTAATCAATTCAAATTTTTTTTCGGGCTCATCTTGTGGCTGCTCTAAGAGTGTGGGCTTTGTTTTCTCGTCGTAAAATTTATTTCGTTGCTAATTTAATATTCAAGTTTGCCTGGAATGAACTTCTATCGAGACATACCAAAGTTCAATTTTCGGTAGACCTTATGTTCTTAGTTTCTTCTGTATGGCAAGTTATGCGAAGCTCTGCTTCGCCTCTTTGTGGAACGTCAATATCTTCCAGGCCCTTCTCAGTTGGTCTAGTGATAAAGCAAATGCCTTTTGGTCATAAAGTGCAACGTTCGAGTCCCAGCTGGATCTTTTAAACCGAATCATCTTTATCCTTCAGATTCAAACAGAATCAATTGTTATTGAAGCTAGTTCTACAGTTTGTGAAATGAACTAACTCTTTTTAAATTTCAATTAGTGTCAGTTTATGTTATATCGACTTAGCTCCCACGTTTTTGTCGTTTGAAAAACAAAAAATAAATAATGTTTTTTTTTTGTGTGAGAAGTAATGACAACATGTTGTTTTATATGATAAAGTTTTATGTTTGGCTCGATTAGGATCTACTCAAGTATTGAAGCTTAGTTGCCGACCATTAAATTGTTTTTCAAAGCTTATTTATTGCTGGCGCATGTGTTTTATAATATGTTTCCTTGAAGCGTACATGTGGTATCGTATCAATTTTTGTTCGGCGTTTTTTTTTCGTTTTTTTTCGATTTGGTGGCTTCGTCTCATGCTCTGTCGTTTCGCTTGAAGTGTTGTGTTTGTGTTGTCTCGCAGCAGTGTCGCGGAGCTCCGCTTCATGCTTGTGTTGTTTACGCTCAAAATTATTCTTTATTCGATTCAAATTACTTGTGCGAAAAGTGCCAATGACGCTTTAAAACCGCAGGTTTAAAAGTTATTCACAGACTTTCGAATTCTCAACCCTATGATGGGGTGCTCTCAGGGTACACTATGGGGTTGCAATTATGACCTCCAAATATGGTTGCTCAAATCTTTTTGGTTTTCGAGATATGGCGTTTTTTTAAAATTTTTTCAATTTTTTTTTAGATAACAGATCTGCAAAAACCTAACATATCTAGGAATTCTCAACCCTTTGGTGGGGTGCTTTCGGGCTTCTAAATGAATTAATGCCAGAATTGTTGAAATATAAAAAATGTGGAAGGAGTGTTTGTATGCTGTTGGCTTTTAGCGTCCTTTTTTTACACAAGCAAAGCTTGTGATAGTATGAACTTTTTGCGACAAATTGTCTTCATTTTGGAAGTATTCAGGTATATCAATACCAGCTATTAATTACAGCCAATGCTAAGGATATTAATACAAGTTATTATATAACAAATAGCCTTTTAGCTTCTAGGTATCATGGATCTGTAGCGTAGAGGTAGGGAAGGAGACCCACATCAAAATAAGAAAGTTCGAACCTGGGTAGGGTCGGATATTTTTCATTAACTTTTTTGTATACTAGTTTAAGTGCGTCCGCTCTATAAATTGAGGCATGTTAGTTGGTAAATTTCTCTTTTTTTTCAAATTGGCCGGTACTGCTAATGCGTCATAATTGGCTTGCGTCACTTTAGAAATTTTGTAGACTCAAGGTTTTTCTCATTCAATTTTCCCCAGTAGCGTTATCGGTCGTATTGCTTGTGCATGCGAAGTGCAACTTCACCTCTGTGTTGAATTTGAAGTTTCATAAACCTGATAAAACTCAGTAGTTTTGGAGATATGGCCATTTCGGTGAAAAATAACCTAAAAGATGACTTTATACATTGGATGTTTAATTAATGAAATAGAGAACACTTATAGAATGATTCAGTTTAAGTTTACGGTTTCATTAAAGGTCGCGATTTTAAAAATAGATAGATTGTTGAATGTGACAAGAGCTATCTATGTGAACCACCGTAGGTGCGTGTCATGCGCTAGTTCAATTAAAATTACTTAATAAGAAAAGTGCGAATGACGCAAAAAAGCCTGATGATCTTTTAAGAGTAATGAGCATAGTGTGTACTCGTACATATGTCTTGGTGATTTTTTTCAGGAAAAAATATTGAATTTTGATTTTTCGCTTTTTGACTTGTGATTTTTTTTTAAAGTTCAGTGCATTTCCATTGTTAAAAGGGAGGCAATTTGCACTATCGAACATTACAAGTGTAAAGGTCACGAAAAACGTAATCAACTTCTAATTTTGAAAATGGAAATTTATCATCAGATTTCCCAGCGAAATAAAAGTTTTTATCTCTTGATCCAGTTTTCTGAAATTGGGTTAATTTTAACCAAAAGTTAATTTTAACGAAAAAGTGTCCATCATAAATTGTTCTACAAATTCAAAGAGTTTTAAGGCCATCTTTGTTTTTCTTCAAAATTCAACTGTTCAAGGTTTTTGACAAAACAAGTAAGTTTTTTTCCAGTTTCTTTGCGTGCATTACGCTTTTTCAATCGGGTTTCCCTGTGAAATAAAGAATCTAATTATCGGGCCAATTCTATTGAGTTATTTTTATCGAAAGTTTTCAGTCATAAGAGAATCTTGACTATCTGTTCGTGTGATGTTCATTCCTCGTAGCTCTTGCCCTTTTCTTTTTTCACGGTTATTCAGTGGCAGCGGCGAGTAGCATGAAAGATCAGTTTAGCAAGATTTTAGTCAATTTTTTCTAGTTATCAAATCATAGCTTGCAGTGGTTATTAAGCCTAAGTCTGTATTCATGTTTTCTGATCTGTTTTGAAGTAAATCTTTCGAAAATCGATATTTTTGTGTATGTTGTCTAGAAACAGGCTTTGTTAACTTAATTTGATTAATTTAAGAAGCAATCAGACGTCAAGTCTAAGCACTGATACCCAGAGACCTGAAGAAGGAAGTTCGGATCCTCGAACTGGCACTTCAACCTCAGTATCTTTGCCGTTTCCCATCCGATTTTTTCTGGAAATGCAGAACAACGTCAGAGCCCTGGATATCGATGACATCCTGAACTACCCAGGGAGGAGTCTAAATAGACTGGAGGAGGAAGAAGAGGGGGGACTATTTGACGGAGAAGAAGAGGGTTACAGTGGAAGTGAATCGAGTGGAGAAGAGGATGAGGGGGGTGGGGAGGTGAGTGGAAGCAGACAGAGAAGCGCGGCCTCCACAGGAACTTTGTCCACGTCTGTAAGTATCAGAAAAGTGAAAGTTCTGTTTTTAGAAGTGCACTTTTTAATGATGTCATTTTACTAAGTCCTAGTATATGCTGATCGCAAAAATTTATTTTCTCCGATATAATTTATAATATAAACCAGTCTTTAATTTATTGAGATTCATGAACGTAGTTAATACTCTCATAGGTGTGGTTAATTTTTTCGTGCTTTTTTTTCAGGTAAAAATATAGTTCACGCTGAAATTCGATTTTTTCGCGATTTGACTGTTGATATTCTAAATTTATCCATTCCCTTTGCCAAAAGTAAGGCAAACTCCATTCGAACAGCAAAAGTGTAAAGGTCACCAAAACGTGATCGGCTTCTCGTTTCGAAATTGGAATATAATTTTATCATCTCCCAGCGGAATAAAAAATTTTCCGTTTGGCTCAGTTTTCTCAAATTGGGTTGATTTTTTGAAAAAATATCAATCATAATCTTTTCTGGAAATTCAAAGAGCTTTGAGACCATTTATTTTTGTTCCGACTTTCGATATGAAAGTGACGGAATATTTGTGCTCGGGGTGGGTTTCTTTTTTCTTCAGACAAATTTCGACTTTTTACTAGCCATTTTTGAAGGCTTTTTTAAATATCATTCAAAAGTATTGTTGTCCTAAGCTTAAATTTGAAAAAGTATTTCACCTGTGAACTTTTTTGGTTAAGTTATGGGGGTTTAAAGATTGTCATTTTGGCCAATTTGGGACAATTAACGCGCGATATATTTCGCGCTATTAACGCGTGATCGGAGATTTAATCCGTCTTAGAAATCGTTCCAAATTTGTTCAAGGAAGATTATATGCCATAATTGACTTGTTAATAGGAGCAAAATCTATCACTTTGTACTGAATATGGAGTGGGGGGAATTTTCACAAAAAATCTCAAACTTTTTAGAAATTTTTTAAAAATTATTTTCAAAATTTCGATGTTATTACTGCTCCATAGACCTTAAAAGGCATTCGGAATTTTCAAGGCTTCGCTCTGATGCGAGCAGTCTTGTTGTTCCGACTTTCAATAAGAAAGTAACGGAATATTTGTGCTCGGTGGGTTTTTTTCTTCAGACAAATTTCGACTTTTCAACTAGCTATTTTTGACGGAATTTTTTATAACATTCAAAAAGTATTGTTGTTCTGAGCTTAAATTTGAAAAGATATTTCACCTGTGCATTTTGGCCAATTTGGGACAATTAACGCGCGATAGATTTCACGCTATTAATGCGTAAGTGGAGATTTAATCCGTCTTTGAAATCGTTCCAAATTGGTTGAAAGAAGCCTTTTTGCCATAATTGATTTGTTACAAGGAGCGAATTTTATCCTTTTGTACTTTAGATGGCGTGTGGGAGGATGATTTTCATATAAAATTTCAAATTTTAGATAAAAAATTTCATTTAATTTTATTACATTGAATGTTATCATGTTAGTACTGCTCCATAAACCTTAAAAGGCAGTCGGAACATTCAGGGTTTCGCCCTGATACGAGCAGTCTTGTTGTTCCGACTTTCGATACGAAAGTAACGGAATATTTGTGCTCGGGGTGGGTTTTTTTTTCTTCAGTTAAATTTCGACTTTTTAACTAGCCATTTCTGACGGAGTTTTTTTTATATCATTCAAAAGGTATTGTTGTCCTGAGTTTAAATTTAAAAAGATATTTCACCTGTGATCATTTTTCGTAAATTTATGAGGGTTTAAAGGTTGCCATTTTGGCCATTTTGACCAATTTGGGACAATTAACGCGCGATATATTTCGAGCTATTAACGCGTAAGCAGAGATTTAATCCGTCTTAGAAATCGTTCCAAATTGGTTGAAAGAAGCTTATTTGCCATAATTGATGTGTTACAAGGAACGAAATCTCTCTTTTTGTACTTTAAATGGCGTGTGGGGGGATGATTTTCATAAAAAATTTAAAATTTTAGAAAAAAAGTCATTTTATTTTATTTCATTTAATTTTTTTTATGTATTACTGCTGCTCAATAAACCTTAAAAGGCAGTCGGAACATTCAGGGCTTCGCCCTGATACGAGCAGTCTTGTTTTACTTTTAAATACTGTTGCGATCTTTAGCCTGGTTAGATTGAGTTTATCTCTGTGAACATAGTTATCAATTGTTTTTATATTAGATGGTGGGAACCGGCAATGAGTCAAGTAGCAGAAGCGCAGATACAAACGACTCTGATTCTAGTAATGAAGGCCGCCATCATCCTTCTGTGTTCTGGGTACGAGACAGAATAAGATCCCTGGATCTGCCTCAATTTCTAATTGACTATCTGCTCTACCACAGAAAATATATTTTCGATTGAACTATTTAAAAACTTGATGTTTTCTTGAGCGCTCGTCTTCTTTTCCCGAGAAATTATTACGTTTCAAAAATTCTTACGATTCAAGAGCTTTCGATACGATTCAAGAAAGTTAGGCATGTTTTATCTAAGAGTCTTCAAAACTTTGAACTTTTCAGCAGTACACATTGTAATGTAATGTAATCTTGAGTTTTAACTATCTTTGGGGAAATAAAGAAGAATCGGCTCGGAATTTTAGTGACAAACTCTGATGCAAAACTGTATTAACCTTCTCAATTTTAGTTACGGTGTTTTAACTAGAGTAGATCACTTAGATTTAATGCATATCTAGATCATATTTTAAACATTCTGCTCTAATGTAACTAGATTACGGTTTAGAAGGAATTTAATTTCGTATTTTAATGTTTTGAAGAGCCATTACTAATTTTGGCTATTTTCCAGTCCTTCTCAGGCAAACTGGAAAAGTGCTCTAGCTTTAACCATGTTTCAGAAGCATTGGTTCCCAAGGAATAAGCTGATATCGAAGGTGGTTTTGTATCATTCACTTTATGCACAAGACAGCTAGCTAGCGTAAAATAGTGCGCAATTGAGATTTTTTGCTGCATACATTGACAAGTTTTAACCTGTAAACTTTTCGTTTTTTTGGTGGCTAGTGTGTACCTAGTTCAATAGCACACTGTGGATTTGCGAGGAGGTAGGAATAGTAACCTCCAGGTCGGCGGTTCGATTCGGGAAGGTGGCAACTTTTTTTATTTTTTAAAACTTTCAAAGTTTTTTCCTCTTTTTCACGCCATCCCCAAATATGAAAAAATAAAGAAGCGTTAGCATAGTGCTAACAGAAAATTTAAAACGTGGGCAGGGAAATGGAAAACTGTTATTGTTTTTTTTTTGCCTTTTTGGAGCTATTTATTGCCTTTTCTCGCTTGTGACGCAACGCGGAGCTCGTTTATAACAAGTTATTTAACCTGCCCTCAGTTTTTATTCAAATGTTGTAGCGTTGAAATTAGTTATGTGCAATCTTGTGCCCTGATCGATCTATTTTAAACATGTAAGCGCTACTCATTTCAGATCGGTGGTTCAATCCAAATTGATAGCTTTCAAATTCCAATCCAAGTTGAATTGTGACAAGCTAATTGGTCCAATTGAGTACCCAATAGACAATAATTATGTTACAAAACTAGTTAGTTTTAAAAGTAATGAAGGTAGTGAGGACTCTTAAATAGGTCTTGCTGATTTTTTAATTGATTTTTGTTTCAGGAAAAGTCATAAAATTTGATCACGCTCAAGTGTAAAGGTAACGAAAAACGTGATCGACTTCTAATTTCGAAAATGGAAATTAATTATCAGATATCCCAGTGAAATAAAAGTTTTGCCTATTGATCCAGTTTTCTCAAATGGGTTAATTTTGACAAAAAAAGTGTCAATCATAAATTGGTCTACAAATTCAAAGTTGTAAGGCCCCCCTTTTTTTTCGAAGTTCAAAAGATTTCATTGCGTTCATTACTCTTTTCCAACTGTCAGTTGGCTATGTTTGAAGATATTTATCTTTCCAGACATATTTCTGCATTTAGTGACAGTTTTTTTTCTACTTTTTAGAGTCGATGAACGTAATTCAGGCTCTTATATAGGTCGCCGCTTTTTTTTCAGGAAAAATCCTAAAATTCTCTTATAACAAAAGAAGTGTTTTCAGACTTATAAATGTACAAATTAGCACCCTCTTGCTATTTGGTAGGCGAACTGCACTTATGAAAGCTGAAATGGCGCGAAAAAAGTTTTCTAGTTTCGACAATGGAATTTAACTTATAGATCTTTCAGCGGATTAAAAACTTTTGCTAGTAATCCCGTTTTCTTTTTTAACATTTTCTTAATTTGATCATGTAATTTAAAGTTTTTGTTCTAAATTCAAAAATTGAAGTTATGACAAAGCTGTCATTTTTTTCTGCTTCTTTGTGTTCTTTGACTCATTTCTAACTATCTGTAGGCTGTTTTTTTGGCAGCTTCGTCTCGTATAATTTTCTAAAATGCAACGGGTCGCTAAAATGTAATCTGTTTGTTTTTTTTATCATTGAAAACAACGTTTTGTGCAAAATTAGATAAAATTTTAAAAAAGAACAGCTAAAGTGAACGCAATTTATGGTTCTGCTATTTTGAGACTTGAATAAAAAAGGCTATAAACAAAAAAAAATTAAACCCCATTTTCAAAAAACACTTTCTTTCAGCAGGAGAAATTTAATCACTGAAGATTTCCTTTTTCCAGAACATTTTAATAACTGGCAACATAAGTTTTAACAATTGAAATCAAAATTTAAAAAAAGCAAACCAAAAATTAAAAAATTTTGAAAAAAATTTTTTGAAAACTTTTTTAAAATGCGATCTTTGAAGACTGAAACAGACAAAAAAAATTATCATTCAATAAAAGTAATGAAATTTTCTACCCGATTAATAGTTAGCCTTATTAAATTGTCAAAAACATAATAATTTTTTTACACTTGCGAAGCGAGTGTAGTAGTACGAACCGTCTTTTTTTTTCAACCCAATTCACAAATAAACGTGCTCATTTGGTGGCGTTTTTGGTATATTTAATTAACCCTTATTTAGGCTTTTTTAAGCCTAAACAATTTACTGGAACATGTTGCTGCTTTGTTTTTGGCTAGTGTAGGGTCCTATTTGAATAAACATGTATTAAGTAAAAAGCTTGTTTTAAATTTTTTTTTGCAACGATTTGGATATTTTTGCAAACTTCAAAGAAGATTCACTTTTTCTCAAAAATTACTGGGCCGATTTTCAAAACAAAAATGATGTCAATTGAAAATCAGGCTGTTTATCTATGTGCCTGCATATTTCGCTCGTCTCTTTTCAGTTTACCTCACGTTCTGCGGCCTTCGAAATTTTCAGTAAGGGGATTTTTGGCCTCTTTCTTTTGAATTTTTTTTTTAATTTTCTTAAATACTAAAAGCACAAATCACATGGCCTCAAACAAGCCCATTTTTTGACATATTTGGAACTTGATCTAAACTACATTTTATTATTGGATAAATTAGATATTTTATCACTGTAAAATTTTTAATATTAACCAATCATATTCCATCTAACTAACAACCCACTTATTTGTAAGTGCTGAAATTACTTGTAATTTCAGCACCAGAGAGATTTGAATTTAACTTAGAAATTAGTTGCCTCTCCAAGAGAATTTCAGCAGTCGCAATAAGCCAGTAGGCTAAGAAGTTGCACGAATCTATCCGGCCGAAAATAAGATAGCGTGACGAGCAGACGGTGTACCCTATCCGAAATTACTCTATGAGTTAACCACGAGGACCTAACTCATATTGCTTAATTTTTTTCTCAAAAACTACCCTGTGAAATGGAAAACAAGGCGTTTAACCGAAAAATAAAATCAATTATCAGAATTTCACTTAGTCAAGCGGCTATGCCCTGCCTTTTAAAAGAAGTATGGCCTTAGAAAATTTCCTTTTTTTGAAAATTTGGCCGTGTTTTGGAAAATTAATTTAATTTACAAAAACTAACCAGCCGAATTTAAAAATGATAGTCCTTTAAAAAAAACATGGCGCTTGGATTTTGCTTGCTTAACCTGTTTCACCGGTTTTTTAAACAAAGAAAGCTGTTATGAAATTCGGAAAAATTGATTTCAAATTTTACCTTTTTCTTAGAAATTTTGTAACTATTCACGTAAACTACTAGCTAAATCTGATATTAAGGACTCGACCTACAAAATCAGCATGTAAAATCTTCAATCTAGAAATCATTGTGTGGAAAGCAGAGGCTATTCCCATGCTTTAGTAGAGAAAAATTTATGAATGTAGGAAAAATTGATCAATTTTCGGAATCCTTTTAATATTTTTCAAAGCTACTCAGCCAAATCTGAGATAAAGACTCCAATTGAAAGAGCGATTAGTTGTGATTTTTTTTTAAGTAAGCGCGCAATCCCTTACTTGAGCAGAGAAACACTAGGGTTTAGCGTGCAATCATTTTTTGAAAAATACGGGTTTCTGAATCAGTGAAAATATGATTAAAAATATTAGAACAGGTAGATTCAGCATTAGCTGGGCCACTAGTTTACTTGCAAGCGACCTTAGCGCAGGTGCGAGGACGTGAGATTCCTAATCAAAAGATCGGATATCTATATCTGGAGCGTTTAAATAAATTGTTTTTTTTGTCTAATTTTTGCTGCATAACATTGGCAGTTTAACAAACTGTAGCTGCTTTTTTGGTGGCTAGTGTTAGTGAATTACAAAAGATCGTGAAGCAGATGTGAAAACGTGATACTCCTAATCTCAACGTTTTTCAATGTGTTTGTTAATCTTTTTACTTAACTTTGTTTTGACTGTTTCGAGCTTTTTTTGGCATTTTCGTTGCTTGTGTTTGCGAAGCGCAGCATCGCATCGGTATTAATTCATCAAATGAACCGAAAAAAGGGGATTTTTTTCAAGCAACAACAAAAATGAAAACTCAATTTGAGAAATTTTCTAACTCACTATATCTTGCAGTTTTTTTGAAATGCATAGTTCAAACATAATTTTTCTTATGCTTCACAATTTATTACATGCAAAATTGTTTCTTTTTGTAATTGGTGCTACTTGAGCTCTGCTATTTGGTCGTGTTCTTGCAAGAAATTGCAAAGCGCAGCCTCGCCTCTGTGTAACAATCATATTTTGCGAATCTGTAAATAGAAAAAATTCTCTATTCGCAAACTGTGGCTTTAGGTTACAAACTAGTTTTTGAAGATCTGAACTCAGCTTCAAAGTGTAGAAAAATCAAAAACTAAAAAAATATTCCGGTAAACATTAAATTGTCGAGTTTCCCTTTGTCTGCTTAAGTTTTGTCGGCTTAGTTGCCATATCTCGGATTTTATTGTTTCATAAAAAATTTTTGGTAGTTGCGAGCGCAAGTGTTTTTCTTTATGGTTTCAGGACTTGATTTTTTTTTTTACAATTTTGTTGTTAGACTCTTCTTGTTTCTGCTCGTAGATTGTCGGATTAGTTGCCACATTACGGATTTTTTTAAAGCTGCAGACAAATTTCGTTGTAATTGCAAGTGATATTGTTTGTGAAGTTTATTTTGAGCGGCTTGAAATTTGAAGAATTTTTCAAAGAGTCTGTTTTTTGACTTAGTTTGTGTCTGCTCAAAGATTGTCTGCTTCGTTCTTCTTGTTAAATTTTTTGCAATGGCTTATTTAATGTAAAAATGTCTGGCTGGCTTGCCGTCAAAAACTTTCTGTCGAGGCATTCAAATATGAATTTTTTGGTTTTTGCATAAATTTTTGTTACAGTTTCCGCTACAATGAAAGATAACTTCATCATTCTTTCTAGAAAATATGCCTTAAAACAATTTTCTCAAAATTAAAAAAAAATCAAAAAAAAATGGGCAACAATAGCTAGGATTTT